ACTGCCAGCCAGTCAGTCCTGGCTCACAGCGACCCCACAGCCACAGTGGTTTCTGAGACTGCCACGGCGTGCGCGGGAAGAAGAAAGCTGTTAGCCTTCTCATTGTTATCCCTCAAGGTAGCTGGTGGGTTGGGATGGACGGTCTTGTGGTTACAGCTTAATGCTTTACCGGTTACACCAGCAGAGTGCCTCATATTTTAAATAAATGGTATTCTTTTTGTTCCTTCAAGAAATCCTCCAGTCACTTGCCATTGTTCTTTTAAATCCATTGAAACTGTCAATGCTCCGTCCAGACCCAGTATGATCCTGCCCCAGCGCACTCTTTCCTCCTCAGCTCGTGTCACTGAACTCCATCAGGTCGGGCTTTGAGCTACCTGCTCCTTTACCCTCTCTTCTTTCCTGGGTTCACAAAGTCGGCGTCCTGTGTCTGAGGCTCAGCTCTGATTCCTCTGCTGAGAAACCTTGTTTAATGCTGGGACTTCCAGTTCTTAGAAAAGCACTTGACCTGTAGAAGGTGTTCAAGAAATGTTTAGAGACTATGTGAAAAATAAGTAGTTAGACTGGGCTTTAATTCTCTTATTTCTCTTAATAGAGTTCTATTAGTATATCTGTAGATTGTTTTGTACATAAGGGAAGCCCATGGAACAGCATTCTGGTGTCTGCTCATCTTGATCAAGAGATCAGTTTAAACCCCTAGGACGTACTGACTCAGTGAACTTTCAAGGTTACCCACCTGCTGATATGAAAATCTTACTTTAAAAAAAATTTATGATGAGGATTTTATATTTTCTTTTGTGAAACATCATCTTGTTGGTTTCATATTAGTCTTCATGAAGGCTGTTTCCTTTTAACTGAATTTTGCCTTGTTCTGGTTGTCTTGTTCTGGTTCCAAAAGTAATACATTTTCATTGTAGATAAGGAGTATCACCCAGAAGTTAATTAAAACCCTTCAAATACTACCAAATGAGAGAGTTGCTATTTTTATTTTGACATATAATTTACTAATCGTTAGAAAATGTGACTTTCAAAAAGCATCGGCATCTTATACCATACTTAACTGTATTGCAGCCTGTTTATCCACCAAGTTTTCTATAGAGGTTTTCTTATCACTAAAGTAATTTAGAGAATTTAAGTGTAAGATACTGCATTTTACATAAACATGAAGGACCTTGGGCAAGTTACTTAATTCTCTGTGCTTTAATTTCTTCAACTACAAGGTTAATGGCCCTTCTGTAATATTTGTATCATTTGATGAGTTACTGCATATAAAGAGCTTATTAACAAGTACCACAAACACTTAGTAAAAGTATGAATCTGCCAAAACTTACCTTTCCATTTCTCTATTCTTGTACATTCAGATTTTCTCTCTATTGTATAATTGACAAATTAACTAAGATTGTTTTGATCTCAGTTTTGACCTCCAGCTCTTTCACGCCCCCCCACCCCAACTTTGAATTATCCACAAATTTGATAAGTGTGCCCTTTAAAGGTTCAAGTTATTAATAATCTGCTACATAGGAAGACACTCAGACATTTCGTTGGAGACCACTCTCCAGCTTGAGAATGATTCATTATTTAATTAACATAATTTAATAGGTTTTGCTGTTCAACAACTACATATCTTTTCTGCCATCTCACACATATTTCTGTTTTTGCCTATGAGAACATTATGAGGTTTCATATTACTGATACTGTCACCTTTCCCCACCCCCTCCTCATCCACAAAAAGAAAAGTCATGTTGCTTA